TTACAAATTCGTAGGACTATTTTTCTGAAATGTCCTTAATATTTAAACTAAAAAACTAAAATTCAGGACCTAATTCGATGCATCTTTAATAAAAGCACAGTTAACTAAAATTCCTAAACACAGTTAGCTTACAAATTCTTAGGACTATTTTTCTGAAATGTCCTTACATAGTCAATATATTGATTGAACCACAAACACATTTCAATACCAAAAGGTTCTCAATAACTTTCTCACAAAAATCCGCACCTTATTCCTCAGTGAATCAAGTTATAATCATTATTTTGGACATTTCATACATACTTGATGACAAACACAGCATTGATCACGATTAGAGATATATAAAAAGAAAAATGCATAAAAGCAAAATCGAAAACATACCAGTACGCTGGTTCGCTGCAGAGAAGATGACAAAGGAGAAGAGATTAAGTTGGACAAAGTATACGCAGAGAATTGTTGTGGGCTGGGCAGGAACGATATTGAGGGAGCGAAATTTTGCTTATAAAATTTTGGCTCTGAACTTCAATCGAGAGAAGAGAATTGCATGCAGGAATGATATTGAGGGAGCGAAATTTTGCCTATTAAAATTTTGGCTCTAAACTTAAATGAGAGAAATGTATAAAGGAAGGGTTTGGGAATAAAAGAAATAGAAGAAAGGGTAAAAATATCTTTTCATATTAATTTTAATAGAGTAATAGCTATTTTTGCTCAATATTAGAATTGGTGGATAAAAAATAAATACCACCTTATTTAGTGGCTACCACACGCCATTTTTACAAATAGTTACTTCACAGACTGACCGGCACATAACAATGGGCCTTTCGCTCGAGACTGAGCTCTGCAAATAGCCCTTTTTTGCAATTGTACAGAAAATAGGAAACGGTTTAGTCAATAAAGGTAAGAGTCCAAGATCAAATAACTATAAAGCAGCCTGCTCATATTCTTAGCAACGAGGCACCGTGGGTATTATCACTTTTAGTCCACGCCAAANTTGCCTCTAAACTACCGGAATTTGTTGTAAGTTGTAACCATGTTAAGAATATTGATATTTCTATTATATACTTTGAAAATGAGATTCATGTAGTTGTAAATTTGGAGAATAAATGGATAAAACTACATCACAAATTGATTAGAACGGACAAAAATGGAGATACATTCAAGAGAGAAATTGATTAGTTTGTGTATGACCAAAAAAAAAAAAAAAAAAAAAAAAAAAAGATTAGTTTGTGTATAAGTCAATGAAACATATAACCTTTATTTCTCCGCTAATCTCATCGTTTAGTGACTACTTTTAAATTCGACGAATCTAAATTCGCACCGAGAAATCAAGTGACTTGAGCCATCAACTAACATATTTTCTTTTGCTATAACTTAATTATCTTACTAGCTTACCTCCAATCCCCGCTTGTTCCTGTTTTTTTAAAAACTTTTGTTTTGAATAAATAACTTGGAATAAGTTACATCGTGCTGGATTCTCAACATGCCGCTTCATATGGTGTACCAAATTTTTGTGCCTCGCACAGAGGCGGAGTCAAGATGTTAACTTATGGATTCTGGATTTTAGGACCATAACTTCAAATGTTAATGATTGAGTTATATATTTAATAGTTATGCATATTTCGTAAATTCAAATTACCAAATACATTATTTAAGCAAAAGTTACTGGATTCGACCGAACACGTAGTCAACTTGTGCCTCCGCCCCTGGCCTCACGTGCAACAATTCATTGCACCATGGACTAAGTAGGGGAAGCTGGATTCTAATAAATCCATCATGTGACTCTTGAACAATTATTTAAATGGCTAAACTTGTCTCCCCATAAATATATTATTTGTACAATAATACAGTTGCAATATATCTGGTATAGCTGTTATGACTAATTTAAAGTAGTACCAAAATAATACAGACTAGACACATTTGGTGAACCTTTAGCAACTACTCTACAGTATCTGGTTCTCAACATCCTAGTACCATACCCTAGGTAGATCCTTAATCAATATAATCAAACCACGTAGTTCAACAACTTTGGATGTGTTGGAACAAATAAGTCATTACTTTGCACTTTGTGTGTAGTCCCTAATTAATGAGCTCACTGAATCAAAAACTAAAGCAAAGTGCATTAGAAGGTTTTTATGGTTTAGATATTACCATTAGGTAAAGATACGTCCTCAGAAGTCAGAATCACCTCTTTTGTTTTGTACATACAAATCACAAACTAAGCTAATCTTAATCCTTCGGTGAACCAATCAACAACATGACAAACAAAGGCTAAATATTAAGCGTTGACAATTAGCAAAGTATTTGCACCTAATAATGTATCATTTTATTAAACCATCAGTTTATATTAATCTACAAATTGAGGTAACTGCTTAAGTAAACTTTATGCAATAACTTAAAATTAGAGTAAATAACATGTTTACACTGACAATACATAAAACTAAAATCCTATATATATATTCGGACAAAAGAAGCATCCCCTTTTCTCTTTTCTTTTTGGAGTTAATTAGTGATGTTGTATAAACCATCTCGTTTTAATAAATCAGAGGCATAATGGAGTCACAAAATCAAGATTCTTGGTCAACCAATTTGCGTCTAAATTTATGATAGTGTGGTCCAAATTCTTAATGCTACAAATGTTTACCACAAAAAAACAAAATAACAACCGTTTTATGGCCCCCAACCCCATATGCGCAAGAACTCTGGATTTTAATTCCTTGCTTGAAAATATGTTCTTTTTTAATTGGGCCACTTTATTCCAGCTAATACGACATGATTTGGTAGTAATTCCAAAATTTCTGACCTCTAAATTAAGGTGCTTTTGTAATAAGGAATATTAAAATGGGGCATATTGCTTGTTACGAATTGTATCAAATGTGTGTTTCTTCATTTTTCGTTTGCTTTCACGTTTAAAATCTTCCTCTGACAAGGACCATTAACAATATGTTAATATTCAATGGAAGATGACAGTTTTTATCCGAAATGTCAACTTAATTACTTAGGAAAACAGTATGATCCCTGTTATTTATAATTGTGTTTTGAGGTGTAATTGATGGTTGTTTTCTTTAAGAAATAAGTTAATTTTCCATTAAAAAATGAGCGATACTTCTTAAATTAGAAAATCAAGATAAGTAATTGTAATGAACATTTTGAAGCTTCCACAAATGTGGTGCCAAACACAAATATTTTAGTTAATTTGCAACTGTTGAAGCTTCCACAATTGAGTTATAAAGATTAAGGGTGGATCTAAATTTTAAATTAGTAAAAATCAAATACCACTGTATGAATTTTATTGTGTTTGAACTTAATATAATTTAAAGATTTTTTCATTCTATATAAGTGAGTATAATTAAAAAATATTGGATACGATCTTGACAAAAAGAGATTAATAACCAGTATCTCTTTCCAAAAAGCTTGATTTAATTTGTATAGTATTTCTTATTAAAAAAGAAAAAAAAATTGAAGGTTCGTGTCGCATATAAGATTAATTAATGGCGGACCAACCAATCAGAGAAATTAATAATGGATTGCTTCATTCTTTGGAGTACCAATTATTAATAATTGAACTTGTGCAACATAAAAAATTAATAAATTAACAAAATTATCATCACATTACCCTACACCTTTGCTTTAACCCATAACAGGGGGTGGGGTTGGGATTCTTTCCGGCTCGACTACTCTTTCTCATACGGTGCTTTGCTTTGCGGTTTGCTTATCTCATTCTCTTCTATTCGCAAGCTATCCCCTAATATACAAAACAAATTCCCCCCATTTATATAACAACAAAAAAAACCAGACATTTCTTAGAGAAAGTACTACTTTTATTTTTTTTTATAAAAAACTGTAAAAATACGTGTAAATCACATATCGAAACACACACTACAAATTTTGTATCAGAGAAGAAACTTCTGATCTTGTTCCCCCTCCCTTTCTCTCTCTCTCCTATTGCCTTCATTTTCAGGTGTGTGGTACATCTTGTTTTTTTTTTTTTTTGTGAAAAATTGAATTAGGTATTTGAGTCTTAATTTTTTTTTTTTGTGGGTAATTTGCAGGATGGATGAATTTCTTTTGTTCATATTTCGGTATTTATGTATTGGAAGTTTTGTATTTTGAGATGTGAAAATTAGGGCTAGGAATTATTGGTTTGTGTTGTTTTTGTGGTTTCTTTATTGTGAATATTTTGGAATGGGTAATAAGTTGGGAAGGAGGAAGCAAGTGGTGGATGACAAGTACACTAGGCCTCAGGGGTTGTACCAACACAAGGATGTGGATATTAAGAAGCTTCGTAAACTCATTCTTGATTCCAAGCTCGCGCCTTGCTATCCTGGTGATGATGATTGTCCCAACTCTGACCTCGAGGAATGCCCCATTTGCTTCTTGGTTTGTTCTTTTTTTTTTTCCCTTCCATTATTCACCTTGAAAATTTGTTGGCATATGTTTTGTCTAGAATGTGATTTATATAGTGGACCTCAACTTGTTTGGGATTTGGATGTAGTTGTAGTTCTTGTTGTTGCACTCAAGGCTGTGGCCTAGTGGTAAATGAAGAACCATGAGGTCTCGGGTTCAAAACACTAGGTAATTTCTTCCTGTACAAAGTTACCTGGTAGTCTGGTACCAGTGTTGGTAGAAGGAGTAGGTACTTGGTAGAATAGTCGAGGTGCGCAAGCTGGCCCCGACATCACTCAACAACAATAACTACGCCTCAATCCCAAACAAGTTGGGGTCGGCGATATGAATCCTCATTCCTTTCATTTAGCTCAACTCATACCATCATAATTACCAAAATAAAATGAAGTGCAAGTAAAAAAGATAAATAAAATGTGTAGTAGTTTTTGTTGTTGTTTGTTCTGACTCCTGAGTTATGTTGGATTAGCATGGAATTTATGTTTAGCGATATGTTCGTTATGATTAATACCTTTGTTCATTTTGAACTTTGCAGTATTATCCTAGTTTAAACCGTTCAAGATGTTGCATGAAAGGCATTTGTACAGGTATTTATTGTCCTTGTGTTTGTAATTGCCTGTGCTTATTATGGCTCTACTTTTGATGTAATAATATGCACCATTTTTGGAAGTGGATTTGTGACTTGTTTCCTTGCAACAGAGTGTTTTTTGCAGATGAAGACCCCCAATTCAACCCGTCCAACACAGTATCCTTGATTTCTTTGATTACTGGTTACTTATTGCTAAATGCATTTCGCCTATCTCCTCTTCCTCCATCCAGATTCTCATTCTACACTGAGCTCCTTAACGTTATAAGATGCCCATTTTGTAAAACATCAAATTACGCGGTGGAATATCGCGGGGTTAAGACGAAGGAAGAAAAGGGGATAGAGCAGATTGTAAGATCCTATCTACTGTTTTATTTCTTTGGGTGATTGCATGGATATAATTACATATTGCTAATGGTGTCTCATACTTAACTTAGGCTATTTTTATCCTTTTCTATCCCTCTCTTGTCGTTATTTTAGGAGGAACAACGAGTTATAGAAGCCAAAATAAGGATGAGACAGCAGGAGCTGCAGGATGAAGAAGAGAAAACGCAGAAACGAAAAGAGCTTAGTTCTTCCAGTAGTATCGCTGGACCAAGTGAGATAGAGTATTGCTCTACAGCAGGTATTTACATCTGATTATAATCCAGTCTTATATTTCCTTCTTGTCTGCAGCACCATCTTTTGCTTCTGCTGTGGAAGGCGGAGAAGCCGTTACTTCTCAAGAGACATGTGCAGCTTCAACAATTAGACAGCCTCAGCGCATGAGGCAGAATAGGTACGAACTGTTTTTTGGTGCTAATTGGTTCAAATCATTTTTCCTAATTTGCGATAAATTTACTGAAGAATTTACTCATTTAGGTCATGTTGATGGACCAGATAGTTTGATACTAGCCACTAAATCATCTTAAATGTATTGAAAAAGCTAACCCGAATCGTGGAAGTAGAGTGAATAAATAAATTAGTTAGGGATCTGGATCTGCATGCTGTTTTGAACGAAATATTACTGCTTACTTCTTTAGATTGATCAAGTTATATTGAATGTTACCTAATCCAATATATTTTTCAAGCGGGTCCTTAGATTTACCAGATAGTGCCTAAGATTTAAGCTTATTAGTTATGACTTTGTGGAATAATCATAAGGTTTTTGTGTAAGGGGATCTATAAAAATAGGATGGATGAAATGAAGGACTACGACAGTAGTGTTTATGCGATAGGAAAGTAAATATCCAAGTGAAGGGAAAGTCTTATACAATGCTCATGAGATCAGCAATATTATATGGGAATGAATGTTAGGTTGCTAAGGACCAGCTTATTGGAAAGATAAGTGCAATTGTTGGGACTAGCTAGCACACACCTCGGCCAATTTGACCAATTCACCGATCCGTCTGTCCAGCCTCCAAGGACATGTTACCAAGTTAATCTTTTCCATTATGGATGGTGTAAGTGGGCGCAACCAAGTGTTGTAGTTGGAATTCGAATCTAGGGTCTCCAGGTTGTAACTTTGATGCCTCACCCGCGAGGCCATTCCCTTGGGCCTTGGGGACTTACAGAAATATTGACATTAGGATGGATGTTGAGTCTATACACGCAAGATTAGAAATTTTTATATCTAACAGAGGGTCCAAGTAGCACAGAAAGGATGAAATGAGAGGATCGTCTAAAATTGTTTGGTCATGTCCTAAGAAGTGAAAGAATGCAATCTTTAATGTATAAAAACAAACACTAATACCTTAATGGAATTAGTCAAGATTAAATCTGATTATCAAAGTGCTTCTCTGATTGTTTAAGACATCTCTCTTCGACCAAGGAACAAAACTACATCATTCCGTTCCTTTTTTAGTAAAATAGTGAAGGGTATTCCATTAGTAATGGAAAAAAGGGTGGAGGGAAGCCGTATATGTTGTTCAGGTCGACTAGAAGATGTAGAAGTAGCGGCCTTACACGAAAGATTTGTCTAAGCAATCTATTTGGAAGCCCGTTCGAATTTTTAACCAACTGAGAATAAAATGAGTCACTAGGATTCTATTTCCTTGTTTACTTGTAAATGAACGGGCCCGGAGGTGCGATAAAGATGTTAGAGAGGGAGGTAGACCTAAATCATACAGTTAAAAATCTTCCTGAAATATTTACTATCTCCTCGCATTCCTGCGGGCTTAGCTAAGAATGTAACTTAATGGAAATCAAGGATCGATATAAGTAATAGTCGTCACACTCATATTTGGTTTGATGCACAATTTGATATTTTGACTTGCAGGTTTTCCTTAAACTCACTAGGAGTTTGGAGTTTGTGGCGGTTTATGGGGTTATCATGAAAAGGGTTGATGAAGGAATATATCTTTTATGGTAAAAAATGTATTGTTGAACTTCTATTATTTATTTGTGTAATATCTTTCTCAAATTATATGAGGGTTGAAGTTAGCTAATTTTCAGAGAGAGACTAGAAATTAATTAATATTCCTTACAAATAAAATAGATGGATTTAGAAGTGGAAAATGCTATGTGTAATGCAAATTTGCTGTATCACAGTGATGTAAGACAAATGACAGCACAAACTAGGTATCTTAATTTGAAGTATAAATGAAAGATTCTGGAAATGCAGGACGTTGGAGGAAAATGTTTGAAAAATTAGTGATAGGTAAAGTGCGCTAGTATTTGTCTTTTAATGAAATACTTTTAGAAAATATAGCATATGTAGCCTTATTAAAAGAAATATGACATACGTAGTTCTATAAAAAAATATTTTATGGCAAGAAACTATATAATACAGGTCAAATTGAAACAAAAAACTCCTCCAAGATCCTTAATCTAGTTCGTGTAGTAGCTTTTTGAGGACTTTAGGCTTTTGAAGTGTTCTATTTGTTAGTTCCAGCTAGTTTATTTTTTTTGTTTTTAAATCAAGTTTCCTACAACGTTCAAGCATGAAGTTGAATTTTAGTACAAGGCAAAGAGAGGATTAAAGATTATCATCCAATTTATTTGTTCGATAATGCTAATAGTTAATAGGTTAAGTGATTGTAAGAAATGTGAATGATTGGCAACCTTGTGGAGCAGTTGATAGTACATTGTAAACAGTCAACATGTAGCAAACACAAATGTCAAATTTTTTGGCGGGGTTGGGTTGGGTGGGGTGGAGTGGGGAGTGATTGTTATTTTGAAATCAAATGCGATGTGTTTCTGAGGATGAAGTTGCTGGAAAAATTGATTGGGCTTGTTGAACCCTAATTCGACGGTCTGAGATTAGCCGAAAGTTAATGGGCCGGTCAGAATTAGTACGTTGCTCCAAAGAAGCAAAGATCAGAGTCAGAGTCTCGGAGATGGCGGGAAAGTGGCTCTCACAGTCTGTGCATTTGTCCCCGTGTTGGGAATTAGGAATCTCGCAAGAGCGTGTGGCCTCAATTTTTGATGAGGCTTGTTGTTTCGGCTTGTAGAAGGTCATGCGTCTTATGGTAGTGGTGTTGGTTTTTGCACAACACTGATAAAAAGTTGAAAACTGAAGATAGCACGGACAACCTTTATGGTTCCCCCAAAATGTGCAATGATTATTTTTTCTGCTTCTAATACTGATGAAAACTCAAGATAAAGCGGATAACCCTTATGCTTCCCCGAGAATGCGCGATGACTATCATCTCCTGAATGTCGCCGGTAATTGTACCGCGAACACTCACTTTCACACGCTAGCTCTGATACCATGTTAAGAAAATGGACATGGAATTTGGGCCTAGCTCAGCGGCCTCAACCCCAAAAGCTAGCTTATGTGATGAAATTGCCAAGACCACATAAGTAGACAATCGCCCGTTCCCTCAAGCAATTGCAAATCTGGATTGTATTAAACAATTTTTAAGTAGTTAATGGAGATGAAGGATGGGATTTAGTCCCATTAGTTGAAGCTCCCAGCTATAGCGTCCCACATTTTTTAAACTAGTCATTAGTGAACTGGTCCATGATTATCTCGTCGATGTCAGGGAGCTTAAGTTATAGCTTGGTTTTGTTGCTTTTATGTCAAACTTTTTGTGAGTAATATTATCCATGTTTGTCAAAGAAAAGTGAAAAACAATAAAAAGGACAGCCCATTAGTTGAATCTCCCAGCTATAGCATCCCAAAGTTTTTTAACTAGTCGTTTAGTGAAACAGTCCATGATTGTCTCGTCGATATCAGGGAGCTATGTATAGCTTGTTTTTGTTGTTTTTATGTCAAACTTTTTGTGAGTAATGTTATCCATGTTTGTCAAAGAAAAATGAAAAACTATAAAAAGGGCGGCCCAGTGCACTAAGCTGGAAGGGGCGAGCCACATTGGGTCTATTGAAGCAATAGAAAGAAGAAAGAAATTCATATTCTGTTTGCAATCATTTCTGATTGAATTTTAGTGCTTGATGTTGCTAAAAACACTTAGCTTATCTACATATATGGTCTTACCTGGTTTCTTGTATGTGACTCAGGGAGGATGACTTTGACCTGGATCTTGAGGATATAATGGTTATGGAAGCCATATGGTTATCCATACAGGTAAATTATCCATTCACTATCCTTTTTCTTCTTGCTTGGTCATTTTCTTTTCTTGTTGTTGCGGGGAGGCAGCATTAGGAGAAAAGTTAGAGTTTCCTATCGTTTGTCCGATGTACCCCTTTTCTTTAATTGAAGTGTCTGATTTCTGTTTTCTGAGCGAAATGCTCCACTGTGAATAATAGTGAGATAAAGGAGTCAAAAGTGTCATCTTTCTCTCAGCTCGCGTATATGATGGAAACAGGCATTTTCTTGTTTTCTATTGGGTTTTATCTTGCTAATTTTGAATTCTGGATTTTCATCTTTTCACATTTTGAAGGTCTTATGGCAAAAAATATTTGACAGTTTGACATGGGATATCATTTCTTTTCTTTCGCTGCGTCACCTATTGCCACTTTTAACCTGCTGATCATCTTTGGGATGATAATTTTGGTCGTGCTTTTTGCCCTACTGAACTCATATTTAATGGCTTAGCACTTAATTTTCCACACGAAACTGATGACATGATAGGAGAATGGCAGAAATCGAACTATGGACTACAGTGATGTTGGTCCATCAGAACAATATACAGCGGATCATCAATGTGTCCCAGAAGTCAATGCCCCTGCAGCTTCAGGATCATCTTCCTCTCCTTCTGGCGGTCTTGCTTGTGCAATTGCAGCCCTTGCTGAGCGCCAGCAAATGGGTGGAGAGCCCAGTAACTATAGTCGGAACATGTCATCGTACAATGAGCATCTTGCTTGTGATAGGTTTTCCAATAGGGAGGAGATAGAGAATGATGATTACTCTCATGCTGAGAGCACCATGCATGTGTCACCTGAAAGGCAGCTGGAAATACCGAGGGACGATGGTGAGTGGGCTGATCATGGGTCCATGGTTGCTGAAGTTGGAACTAGTTATGCAGTCTCTGACGAAATGGAAGATGATGCTTCATTCCCTTTGCAAGGTGAAATGGTAAGTGATCTTCAACCCACCACCGGTTCAATAGTTCCTGAGAATTTTGAAGAGCAGATGATGTTAGCCATGGCTGTTTCACTGGCTGAGGCAAGCTCGCGGTCTAATCCACCTGGAGTGTCATGGCACTAGTAGTGCTTGTGATGTGGGGTTGTGTGGATTCCCCTCATATTGCTTCGCCACTCATCAGAAAGGAAATGAAAAAAAAAGACGAGAAAAAGAAAATGCAATCAGTTTTTTAATCTCTTGTCCTCTACCTTTCGCCCTTTCTGTTTTCTTACTTTTCCTCCCTTTTGTAGTCTGGTATACTGCTGTACGAAAACAGAGAAATTGATTTTAGTGAATGAATGTTGTTTGAGCCTGCACATAACAGGTTTATAAGTTCAGCTCATTTACAAATGGCAAAATACATAAGTTACTCCCGGAACTATGGACCAAATCCCCGTGACACACTTTTTGCGGACGGAAATTACTTTACACACTCAACCTTTCCAAAGTGTAGCTAAGACACCACTTTTATTTTGGCCACTTTTTCTAAGGAGGTGCATATCACAGACCAATAAGATTGTAACATGTGTCATTATTTTTAATTTTTTAAAAGAAAAACACTTTTTCTACCCCTCGTTATCAAAATAATTTCAATTTCTTCATCTTCCTCATCTGAACCACGGGGGGCGCCACCACCACCATCAATACCTTCAAAAATCAAAACTACTTTGTACCAGCAATCCACCTCTGTTCCAAATACAAAGTTCAAACTTCACTAGTCAAAATGCAATTAAGACCCATTGAACCACCACAAAAAGCTAAGAACAAAAACTCATAAAATCATGGAGAAAATAACCCAGAAATCACACGACTCATAGGGGAACAACAGGACCGATCTCCGATAGAGCAATATACAAACACCCAACCCCATTTTTGGTAAAAACAGAAACTTTACCAAATATGCCAAAATTAAAATTCAAAATTAAAGGATTTAAGTTAATTACCAAAACCACAACCAAAATCAAACAAAATCACTTTTAATTTCTAATTTATTAAGAACTTAGCAAAGAGTAGATGGTGACAATGGAATCACTGGTGTAGAATGTGGCTATGCAGTAGCTTTGGGAATAAACGAAAAGAAAGGAGATTTGGGTAGAAAACTAAGGGAGGTCAGAATAAGGGAAAAGTAAGTAAGGAAGAATAAAAGAAGGGGGTGTGGCGGAGGCCGACGGGAGACAGCGGGGGATGGCAGGGGTTCAATTGGGGGTGAAGGGCCTGGTGCCTTTTTTCTCTTTTCTTTTTATCTATTAAAATAAGAAAAATAGAGAAAATAGAATAAAATCTTGACTCGTGGCCTTAAATAAGAATTTAGACAGAATATATGTAGGTTTTACGCGCTCAATCTTTTTTGTTAAGTACGTGCGGGCCATATGCCAAAAGTGATGTGTGGTAGACACACTTTAGAAAGGTTAAATGTATAAAGTAATTTTCGTTCACAAAAAGTGTGTCATGGGATTTGGTCTATAGTTCAGAGCGTAAACTATATATTTTACCTTTACAAATTGTAAATAGTTGTCGAGTTACTTCAAGATGGATTTGAACAAGTGGTTCTATTGTGAAAAAAGGTAGAAGCAGATAGCTCCTTGTGGCACTAGAATTGTAAGGGCACTGGCTTTGGGTTCATGAAATTGGATGTCCCAGGCGAAGCAGATTTTCGTGTAGACAACCTTTTTGTAGCTCAAGGAATTGTAAGAAGTACCAAGTATGCGTCAAAAGGAAAAAAAATGGGAGGGGAGGGGGAGGGGTTGTTGCATAGTTTTATTTCTTAGTTTTTCTAAAGAAAAAATAAATAAATCCAACAGGTGTATTTTCAGATCGAATTTCCCTGTTTGCTAAAACATGTCATCGATTAGGGATGTTCAAAACCAAATCGTAACCGTTTAAAATTAGCTTATTCGCTTATTGATATCGGGTTGTCGGGATATGGTCGATGAACAGACTGAAATTTTATAATTAACAATTTGGGCGAGGGTTATTCAATTTCTTTATCGAATAAACCGTTAATTATATTTACACTGTACCGCTTTCTTCCTCTTCATAACCCATCATCATTTTCTTCTCGCTTCTGTCTACCGCTCTGACTTTTGCTATTTCTTTTTCTTCGTTCTTTTTTCTTTGAGATAACAAATATAAATATTTTACTACTACTTTCTTTTTATTTAGGATCTACGATGAATTTTCTTTTTAGATATAATTGAGAACTTAGAGTATTTTGTACCAAGGCTGAAGTAAGATAGACTCCCAAGTTGGAGCATGTGTGATTTTTAACTTTTCCTTCTGTTATGGTTATCTGTAACATACAGTTACATAATAGCTGACATATCAGGAATATAATAGTTGGCATTAGATCAAATCGATTCGAGAAAATATTATATAAATAAATTTGGGCTTAAATTTTTCCTTATCTATAGTTCTCTATTTCCCTTATCTATAGTTCTCTATTTCTTTTTATATCACCCGATAATCGGTAATCCGATATCAATCCGCCCGATGTCTCGTTGGTTGGCTAGCGAATTACTATGTTTATGAATCGATAATCGATAAATTGAACCGTTAAGCGTAAATATCCGTCCGATACGCACTATTTGATTGGGCAATGTTTGAGTAAGTAGGAAAAATAGTCTTTCGTATACCTTTTCTTCCAAGGTTAAGCAAAACCTGTTGAGAGCAATCATCTACAGGCGAACAAGTAACTTTGCAATAGAAGATTACGTTATCTTAAATCCCGTACCGATTGGAACACAATAACATGAGACGCCAAAGAAAAATCAAAACGCAGGGGCTAACTCTGCATCTATATGGTTACATTCTCACAAGTGGAACAAATTAAAACATAACAATAGAAATCTTTGAGAAACAAAGTTGTTGGCTGTTCCAAAACACCTTCATATATGCAGCAAGGAGACTGACTTGGAGATGAGAAATTTGAGACTCTGTTGGTGACTTTGGTCCCAAAAGTCTATTGCTGTACGTGTCCATACAATGATGCTACCTTCTTCTTTCGTAATATTCAACATTAATACATTGATAGTGTAAATTTTTTTACATTAGTTGCAGGTAACTATACTAACCTAAACAATAACACAAGCTGCAACCTTATGCACTAGGTTAAATTGCAATGGGGTGTAAATATTTGATTGCACTATCAGTAAATAAAAGTTTTTAAGTCCTACAGTTTCATCGTATACAAGACTGCAAGTTTGCCGTTTTGAAAAACTTGGGTTTTCATAAATACATTGCGCATAATTTGTTAATCTAATTTTATAATGTTGTCCGTCAAAATAACCTATTTGATCAATTTAGCACAGAGGGAATGTAATACAAAATGTAATCAGCGGAAAGGAGAAAACACATGAAATCATGAAGTTGACTGATCTTAACATTTTCGAATAAGAAACGGAGCTGCGGTAAAGAAAAAAGGACAGTCTTATAGACACTTTACATAAGGATAATTTATTAAATTTTGGTTTAAGGTATATTGAAAAAAATATAAAAATTGTGGGTTATGGTACATAGAAAAAGATATGTAAAAATGGTGGCCATGAGAAAATTAGTGGTTGATGCCATAGATCACACAATAAACAACAAGACGACCCGGTGCATTATGTTTTCACTGTATACTAAGTGGTTGTTGTTGTATATACAAGAGTTAAAGAAAAGAGTCGAACCACATTTTTGCAAAAAACAGTTTTGTTTATGTAAATATAAAAATAAAAAAAATAAAAATACACACACACAGTGAAAAAGCTATATTTTGGGCGTAAGTGGGTGTATACGAGACCAATAATACTAACCAATACTCTTTCGAGACCAAAGTCACCAACAAAGTGTCATCTTCTGCTTCTTCTTCGATTTTCTCTTGGTATATCCAGTGTAACAAATTTGACTACTTTTATAGATTAGTTCAACCATGTCACAAACGTACATTTTATTACAACAATAGTAGCAAGTACATTGATTGTACTGCAAGTAGTAAAATCTTGTCCATTTTATCAAAGTCCCAAGTTTTTTTTGGTACATCATTGTACTAGTAGTACAGTTCTTGTACTGCTAATATTATTCACGTCTCATTTCATAATAAACTATTGCAAACTTGATATCCTGGAGCATTGAGTACTACTAAGTGTACTATCCACTTTAGAGTAGTACCAGATTTACATATATGGAGTACTAACACTTCAGAAGATGCTTAACCTTATTTTGGTATTAGTATTACTTTAATCTTAGACTAATCAGATAAGTTCAATCTCTAATTTATTCAAACTTGGTGGGCTTTGCCTCTGATCCCATCATCACTTTATTTATTCTTTAATTACTGTTCTAGATCTAAGTTTAATTCACTAGCTCCCTACTCACCAAAATATATTGCTTTCAACCAAAATATTTGGCAAAATTCAAAAATTCCTTTTCTTCTATTTTTGTGTAATTCGAGTCACGGTGTTTAAAGCTCGCTCACGATTCGTACCTCAGCGTCAACAAGAATATCAAATTGAAATAGGAAAAGATTAACCAAGTTTATTTGTAGGCTAAATTTCATAGGTGATTATCCAAGTACTTGTCTATTACTATAAAGTCACTATTACTGTTTTTGTCGTATAATAGTCGCTCAACTTTTCACCGAACAATTAAAAAGTCATCCTAGTTGAAAAAATCTTCTAGGTTGAGTAAGGTTTCATTTGTTTGCACTTAATGGAGGTCTAAATTTTAGTGGGCGTTTGGACATAAGAATTGTAAAATTCCGGAAAAAAGTGAAAAAAAAATTCAAGTGAAAATAATATTTGAAAATTAGAGTTGTGTTTGGACATGAATATAATTTTGGGTTGTTTTTGAAGTTTGAATGACCTGAATGAAAATTTTGAAAAACAGCTTTTTGGAATTTTTCAAATTTTCGTAAATTTTCAAAATTCATCTTCAAGTGAAAATTTGAAAATTTATGACCAAACACTGATTTCGGAAAAAAGTAAAAAAAAATTCGAAAAAAGTAAAATTTTTCTTATGTCCAAACAGTCTCTATTAATCATTCATATCTCAGTTATTAGGTGCGTTTGTTTTTTGGATTTGAATCTTAATCATTCAGATCTTAATCATTAAGTTTGTTTTTTAGTTTTACAATCACTTAATGTGTCTGAATTGTTCTTAATGATTAAGATCTATAACATAGTCTTAATATCATTAAGATGTTGTACATTCAAAAACTTATGTAAAAATGATATTTTACTAGTACTCCTACACTTTCACCACTAATCACCATTACCACCGCTATCGTTGTCCCTTACCATTATAGCCTACCGCGACCCACTACCCACCACCCATTATCACCATCCTCGGCGACAACCAC